TGTCTGTTGGCTTCCTTTATGTAGTCTTCATGGTTTAGGATGACTATGGCTCCTCCTTTATCTGCTGGTTTTATTACTGTTTTGTGGTTAGATCTTAGAGATTCTATGGCCTTTTTCTCTGGTAGAGAGAGGTTGTTATGATGGCGTGTGTTGCTGATTGTTTCATTGTTCATTCTTTCCCTGAAGCAGTCGGTGAACTGCTTTCTTTCCCTGTAGCGGTCAAGGTTATGGTTTTGTCCACTGTGCGGTGTCCAATCTGATTTTTTGGGGGGTTTTTGGCATTGATCTTTTCCTGAATGTTGTCAGAGGATGAGTTGTTGTTGGGAGTGGGTTCAGTTTGGTCGTGGAAATATTCCTTGAGGTGGAGGCGTTGGAAGAATTCTTCTAGTTCTCCACATTAAAGTATTTTATTAGGGTATTTTTCTGGACAGAATTTAGGCCTTTAGAAAGGACAGATTTTTCAGTTTTGGTAAGCGTGTGTGGAGAGATTGATAATATTTGTGGGTTAGTTGCTGCTTTCAGTTTTATTGAGTCTGAGGTTAGAACGTTGTAAGGTGTTGGTGTTGTTCCTCTGATGGTTGTTTTGTTGCTGGAGAACTTGTTCTTGGAATAATTTGTTCCATTTCTTCTTTTTATGTAGGATGAATGTTGTAGAAAGTTTTTCATAGTCTCTTTGTATCCATTGTGTATTATTAGGGAAGATGATTGGATTTCTGTCTTTTAAGTTGTTGTAGTATGTGGTGATTTCCTTCCTGAGTTGGTCTCTTTTGGAGTAGATTAGGTGAAGTAGATTATTTCTAATTTTCTCTTAAGTTCTTCTGCATAGATGTGAAGCATATTTGGAGTTATGTGTAGTAGTCAGAACATTGTAGATGTTTAGTCCTCCGGGAATGAAGTTGTGTTTCTTGCAAAGGCTTAGAAAATATATGTCGCTGTTGAGTTTGGCTTCTTTCTTTTTCATGTTGTACAGTTTCCAATTCAAATGGCTGAATTCGATATTTTCCAAGTTACAGGGGTGTAGGTTGTAGCCGTGTTGGTCTAAGGACATAGACAGGACAAGGTTCTTTGGGTGAATCTCATATCTTTTATTAGACCAACTTAAATAGTTGGAAAACAATTATATGTGTAATGTGGAAAACATATGTGTAATAATTTTGTGGCTGGTCCTAATTACACATTGAATTCCATATGTGAGGCCACTGCTTCTAGCCTCTGGGGCACACTCTCCTCCCTTGACAGCTGAGAGCTCCGATCACTGACGGGGCTTCCAGCTGCAACTCAAAGCACTGACAGGACTCCCAGTCACTGGGGCCACCATGTGCTCCTGTGGCTGTGAGCTGTATTAGTAATTAGGGCCCCCAGCTACAGGTGTGTACCATGTGCTTCTGCAGCTGGGAGCTCTGTCAGCTGATTGGAGCTTTCAGTCATGGAAAGTCATGATGTGCCTCTGGGGATGGGAACTCTGATTAACTGAGGGCCTCCCAGCCATGGGACTGAAGATTGCCAGTGCAGGGAGAGCCCAAGATCATAAGCTCCCTTTGCACCAGCAGTATGGTGTGATGGGATCTGATGCTCAGTCCCATAATTACCTGACCTACCATGCATGTATGGCAAGGCAGGAAGCGTGGTTGTTGGGATTGTATGTCAGACCCCATAGTGCCGCCTTTTTAACATCTGCCAGTGGCCTAGATAAAATATTTGGTTCTGAGTTTCTCACAAGTTATTGTTTTTGACTTTTAATCCTAAATATCATTGTTGCAACTCTAAAATTTTTATAGATTTTGAAGTGCCAATTTCATTTCATGTCCATGTTTTTATGTGCTTTGGTGTTTGATAAAATGTATGTAATCAATTAAAAAAAAAGATGTAAACATTTTTGAAAGTTTGTATAATTATAGTTGTCTCCCTGGGACAGTTAACCACTAGACACGTTTGTGGTAGTTTTGAAGTTGGAGGAGTGTTGCATCAGAGTGGTGGTTTTTGGCCCTTTTTTTTTGTTTTTTGTTGTTTTTTGCATATTTGGTGTTCCCTATACAGAAATTGATTTAGTTAACACAAATCAATATGGAATAAAGTTAATTTAGTAGCCGTATCTCAACACACTATGTCTGTTTGAATGTGTCACCAAATGCATGTTAAAGAAGTATTCTATTTAACATCTAAAATAGAAAATGGATGAGATATACCCCATCCTTATTTGCTCCTTTGTAGAGAAAACTCAGAAGTTTCCATGTTCCCCCATTTAGGTTCCTCAGAAATATTTAATATTTTTCAGTCGATACTTCATGTGTATAAATTAAGAAATAGCAGGCTTTGGTTTCTACTTAAGTATAAATGTAGTCACAAAGAACAAGCCAGTAGCCCTATCATGCAAGCACACAATCTTACTAAAGTTAACTGTTTTCAGTGTTTTGGGTGGAGCAGGCCTTAAAGGTGTAAGGTGGACACTGCAGATAGCTGTAGAAAACACTTGAATATGTACAGTGAAGTCAGTATGACATCAGGTCAAACATTGGCTATAGATGTAAAAAGTTTCAAGGAAGACGCAGAGATCACTTTCATATTAGGGCTGCGCAAAGTTTCGACGCTGTTTTGACTCGTTTCAAGCTTGAAACAGTGAAATTGAAACAAAATGACAGTCTTTGAAACAGCGTTGAAATGAAACGAGGGCAGTTAAAACGTTTCTCATTTCGATAGCTGGGCTTGCTTGTAGCTAAAGAGAAACTAAGGACAGGGAGGGGGAAGAAGGGGGAAGGTGTGCTCTGATATTGACTCTGTAGCTCGCCAGTGACTGATCCTTCCAATCCCAGTGCTCTTGGGGGGTGGGGGAGGGAGATGGAAAAACAGCATAAAAACCATTGGTTGAATTGAGCTTTCTATGTGTCTTCATGTGACACAAGTTTTGCTCTGAACAGTCTGAGGTACAGTTTCCCAGAAACCTCTGTACCTATCTCCTTGAAACTTGGCAGTCTTCATGGCCTCAGCAGGGGCTACCATGCCTGCAGTTTCACCGTGTTGTGCCTTAACACACATACACGTGACACGAGTTTTGCTTGTCAGCAGCTTGAGGTGCAGTTTCCTGGACACCCCTGCACTTATCTCTTTGAAACTCAGCAGGCTTCCTGGCCTTAGAAGTGGCTACCAGCCCTGCACATTTTATCTGAATCAGAAAAGAAATGTCAGTTATAGACAGTTTTGTGCTTCCCCATTATAGCCTATGGGCGAAACATCAAAACAGCGTTGAAGCAGTGAAACAGTTTTGATGAAACAAAACAGCAATGCTTTCGAAATGAAACAAAACTCTAAACAAAACACCATCTCATCGAAACAGCAAAATGGAAGTTGAAACTAAATGGCACTGTTTCGCGCAGCCCTATTTCATATTGCATTGTTTCTTTTACTTGTCTAGACATAATCTGAGTAAATAAAGTTCCACTTTGTTAGCTTTTTTAAGTTCTTTGTCTGGTTAATTAGAGATAAAACTATACTAGAGCTCTTTCAGAAAAAGAGTGGAAAGCGAAGGACTTATGAATTCTGTTTGTTTGAATGAAAAGCTAAGCTTTCTAATAGTAATGTTCTTTCTACCTTAACATGCATCTCAACTAGACCGTCACATAAAATATAAGAAGTCTTACTTAACTTCAGTCCTACTTTTACTAATATTTGAAGGATTTTCACAGTACAAATGAAAAAATATCTTGAACTTTGAGTTCTAACACTATTAATGCACCATAAGTAAATAATTTGATTTAATGAAGAAGTGAAGTCAGGGTTAGATACTTTCGTCCTTCTCTATGAAATGCCATATTTTTCCTGTGTCTTTTTAACTTAGAAGTAGATACAGGACTAAGAGCTGATAACCATTGTCAAGATTATGTATTTTGATGCATAAATTAAACTTCATTTGTAAGTCTACACTCAGCAGTAAAGGACAAGTAAGCTAGGCCATCTCTTTCTCAGTGAAAAAAAAACAAATCTTCCTCTCTCAATCTTTGACTCTGGTACAGAACATTGGTGGAGGATTAAAAGCATTGAAATTATCTGAAAATAATAATCTGATCTGCTTTTACTGTTGGCATTTTCCATGTAGACAAATGACACTGGTTTAATTAGTGAAGTGAGGTAAAACTAGTAAAACTCTGTGTAGACATGGAGTTGAGTAGGAGGATCCTGTTTCAGTTTCACTTAAATTGATTGGGAAATAAATTATTCATATTAATTAAAATATGTGATTTAAAGCGCAATAAGTATTCACAGATCAGTTGGCACTAATTTAATCAAACTGTTAAAACTAAGTTTGCATGTAGACGAGACTACTTTTCCCAGCTGGAAGGTGCTTAATACCTGCAGCTCCCACTGATTTCAGTTTGTGCTCAACACTAAAAAAATCAGGTCACTTGTTAAGATGCTGTATATGATAGGGGTTAAGCTACTTCTGTCCTCCCCCCACAACTGGTTCTGAAGTATGGGGTTCCTCATGTGTTACCCCTCTCTTTTCTGCCAAGTGCTCTGTGCCCCAGACTTTAGCAGCAGGCCTGCTTCTGAATTTCTGGCCCTCCCTACCCCCACCACAGGCCATATGACATGGCTTTCCAGGATGCATCTGGTCCATCAGCTGTATGTTTGCCCCTGCCCTGTATGGATTTTAGTTATCTTTTTTGCCTAACTGTGCTTCTGGGAATATCTTTAAAATATATAAAATCCAGGTTATAGCAAATATTTTTTCAGACGGAAAATATATTGATAGAAATTTGAGCATTTCAAATCTTGAGTACTTAACACCTTCCAAAAATGAATTCTTTGCTTTTTTTATTTCAGGTTGAGCCGCAAGAAATATCAGAACACAGCTTTTGGGTAAAAGCCAATGAGAATAAATATGAAAATCCAGATCTTCTGTCAAAACTGAGGCTTACTTTTGGTACACAGATGAAAGGTAAATGTCTTCCTTTAATTGGTATCGCTTTTATATGCAACTTTAAAAATAAATGCATGTGAAAGAAATACAAATGCTTGTTTTTAAAAAGTAAATGCACAAATCATCATTTTATGGGTAAGATAATATAGAACTGAATTTATGAACTGTTATGGTAGTACTAGAACATTTACATGTTTAAATATGCACATTTAGAAATCATCTACACATGAATACTTCAACTGTAGCTTATATTTGAACATTTGAGAACAGTAATTTTATAAATATTATACATTATATTAATTTATTTCCATTATTCATTGGTTTCAAAAGCAAGATAAATTTGTATTTACTGAGTACTGAAATAGGAAAGATTCTGACTTCAAGAACAGTTTCAATTAAAAAAACTTTCCAAAAACCCTGAAATCAATTTATATTGCTTTAACCTCTTCCTATAATCATTTAGGATGATCTTCAGTGTGTGTGTGT